TTTTCATCCAAGACCTAGAAAGATGTCTTATTGGCTAAGAGTGCTTGCTACTCTTGTAGAGGACCCAGGTTTGGCTCCCAGCACCCACATCAAGCAGCTTGAAGCCACCTATAATTTCAACTCCAGAGGATCTGGCACTCTCTTCTGGTTTCCATACACACCTGCACACAAGTGAGGCACATACACATACTTAGGCACACACTCATATACATACAATTTAAAAATCTTTTTTTCAAAGCCAAGTGGGATGGTACTTGTAATTATCTTTGGCTACTCCAGAAAAATGGGAGACCATGCAAAAAAAAGTGAACAGCACCTAAAGAATGGCACCCAAGGTGTTTCTGACAGAGAGAGAGAGAGAGAGAGAGAGAGAGAGAGAGAGAGAGAGAGAGAGAGAGAGAGAGAGAAGAAGAAGAAGAAGAAGAAGAAGAAGAAGAAGAAGGAGAGAAAGAGAGAGAGAGAAAGAAAGAAAGAAAGAAAGAAAGAAAGAAAGAAAGAAAGAAGGAAAGCAGCTTTGGAAGTAATATTACACAGTAAAACCTCATCTATATATAGTTATTGGATGTATAGACATCACCATCCGCTAGACACTCTCCTTCCAAAGCAGAAACTGGATAAAGCTTGCCTCCCAGGACCCCTTGTCTCCAGAGCACAGATGCATGCAGGCTGTCTTTTTTTGGATTTGTGCAGTGCATAACCCATGTAGACATCAAACCTGGCCCTGACCCCAGGCACCCAGACAGACAGATTTGCCTGCAGGCTCCGTGTGGGAAGGAAGTGATGTACAGGCACATCAGTCAGCCAGCTTCCATGGCAACAGCCTCAGCAGCCTGACAATAGCATCCACAGCCACAGTAGCAGAGGGATCCGCACAACCCATCTGCAATGTGATTCATGGGCTTTGCTCCCTCCACAACTGGTCCCCCGCCCCCAAGTTGTCCCTGTGACTTCCCGACAACAAATTCCTTTCTGTGACAGTTTACCAAAGAGCTCTTTCTACTTATAGTTTAAGAAGCTCCAGCTTTTAATTAGGTCTGTCGAAGTGCATTGGGTTGAGTCTGATGACCTGTTCAGTGATTAGTTGTTTTGTTTGTTTGATTGTGTTTTTAGCTTGAGTCAGGCTGGAGTTAACTGAGATCTCAGTTGAGAGATCGCCTCCATCAGACTGGCCTGTAGGCAGGTCTGTGGGGGCTTGTTCTTGGTTCCTGATGGATGTGGAAGGGGCCAGCACACTGTGAAGGTTGTGCAAGAAAGCAGGCTGAGCAAGCTGCAGGAAGCAAGCCAGAAATCAGCCCCCCTCCACAGCCTCTGTTTCAGTTCCTGCCTCCGGGTTCCTGGGTGAACCCTGGTTTCCCTTTGTGATGGGCTGTAACGTGTAAACCACACAGCCCTTTCTGTCTCAAGTTGGTTTTGGTCATGGTGCTATCACAGCTACAGAGAGGCCAGCGAGGACAGTGCACAGCTCAGCTTCCTCTGTCCACTTTCGCCTGTGAGGACACAATGAAGGGAGCTATTGGCAGGCTTCTTAGCCAACAGCCATCAGTCGCTGTGTGACATGTAGACAGAGGGGAGAGGCTGGAACAGCGAGGTGAATAGCTGCCCATGATCATGACTGGTAGAGCTGAGCCTGACAGAGCAGAAAAACCTTGCCTCCACCGCTCCCGGGATTTCAGCCTGGGTGGAAGTTTCCCCTGGCGCTTCAAGATGCTGGCCACCTACAGCTAGGCAGCAGTAACCAGAGCTTTCCTCTCCACCGTGTGCTTGCCCTGCCTAAATGGACACTAGGCTTGTGCAAACAACACACTGGGATGGTCCCTTGAGGGTGGGGAACCACCGGGGATATAGCTCGAGCTACTTTCCGAAGAAGGGCACCCGTGGCACCCGTGGCTTGGCCTCCCCTCCTGAGCTAGAGTTCTCCTCCCCCACCGCCCTGCCACTCTGTTCTGCCTCTCTCTCCCTCTGTCTCTTACTGATTCTTCCTCTTCCTCCCCCTCTCCCTGTCATTCTCCCTCTCTCTTCCACAAGCGCGCCCGCACACACACATGGGGAGAGGGAGGGAGGGAGGGAGAGAGAGAGAGAGAGAGAGAGAGAGAGAGAGAGAGAGAGAGAGAGAGAGACTGAGATCGGAGAATCCTTGCTAGCGCCAGAACACTCCCTACGCCCACCCCCCAGCAAACCTCACTTTGGCTGCCTCCATCTTTCCCACTGGGTGGCAGTGTGGCACCATGGATTGACACCCCTGACCCACGGCCCCAGGCTGTCACTCGGCTCATCCATCTCAGCCTGTGTTCCACAGAGGGCTCTAAAGAGGACACCCACGCCAGCTTTTCGGTCACGCCTCACTGCGGCACCTAATGAATCTCAGCTCTCGCCTGAGCCGCAGCCGCAGCCCTGCTGCGCAGCCAGCCCCGCCCCCATCCACCCCCGGATCTCAGGAAGGGATTTCAGGACAAAGGTCTGGGGAATTCAGGACAGAGGTCTGGCAGGGTGCCCAAGGGTTTGCACCCGATCTGATTTGCTTCAAAACAGTAATCGTAATGAGAATGTCCGTAACCAGGTACAAATAATTGTTAGAAGGCCGTCGCCATGTTTTATATTAACACAGATTTGCCTGAATGGAGTTTAACGGGGGAAACTACACGGCACCTGGCGCTTCTAACCTCCCATGAGGTGGGAGGCAGTGTGCAGAGCTCTGGTCCACCCTCCCTTCCAATAAAGGTAAAGTTGCGATGTCAGGGCTGGGAATGGAACACATCCTAGACCCGTGGTCTCACCCTTCCTAATGCTCCGACCCTTTAATACAGCCCCTTATGTTGTGGTGTCCCCCAGGTGTAAAATTATTCCGTTACTACTTCATAACTGTTACAAATCATCGTGTAAATATCGGATGTGCAGGATGTCGAGAAGCTCTCTCCTAGATGATGCTGAGTGCCCATGACTGGGACAAGACTGTACTAGGTTGTCATCGCCACTGACTCTCAATGGGTGTTCCATGTGTCTTTGGTGTTAAGTACTCAGTACTCAGTCGTGCTGGGTACTCCACCCGCATTATCCCGTGGTGTCCTCATAATGCCTTTGAATGAAGGAATCCTACGCCTCACGAGGTTAGGGGACTCAAATTCCCACCATGTGTAAAAGGCTCATCCCAGCTTGGGATGTGTCTGGGCCGGTTGCTGTGGGCACACAGCTGCTTCCACAAGTTCATTTCTGGAGGACAGGGGGCCCCTGTTGGAGAGGGGAAGCGTTGGAGGAAAGGGAGGGCAGCATAGATTCCACGGCCTAGGATGAGTTAGACTCTCCAGGCAACCCACAGTGTATGGTGAGCTAAGCTAGCAGACTTCCCTGCTGACTTTCTGCCTGCTTCTGTGGCAACACTTGTTCTCTCTGAAGGACCCCCAGGTTCACCTAGCCTCCAGGATAGGTGGGCAAGGCAGACATTTCATGGGCAGCAGACGCCACTGAAGAGCAGGGAGATGCTAGCATGGCTCATGTGCCTGATACAGACACCTCCTTTGTGCAAGGGTGTAAGTGACCCTAAAACAGCCATATTGAAAGGTGTGCACCCAGAATGGATGATGGGGTCCCTTTCTCCTAGTCCTTTCCCAGTCCATATAATCTAGCGCCTCCCTGAGGCCCTAAGACCACCTGTAGTTAGGACGGCGTTGCGTGCAACTGACCGGACACAGAGGTTGGATACTCAGGCCAATGAGAGGGCTTGTCAACAGTCGACCAGCCAAGCCGTGATTGTGCTTTTGCAATTAGTCACTAGACTTATGAAGGATGAAGCTCGTTCTGCTCAGTAGACAGTCCTATACGACATCATGGTGCCTGAAGAAGCTCCCAGGGAAGTTTCCAAAAACTTACGGCAACAACTGTGAGAACCTGAGGTGCCCCCTTCCAAGCCGCCAGGTCAGCCTGCCCAGGTTCACGGATACTGACAAGAGCCACAAGACTCCTGGAGACAAAGGGCTTCATCATTCATTGCAACACCATCCTTACAGCAGATGACACACAGGAGGGCTGACCCTAGGGACCTGGATCCACCGTAACAAGAAACAACACACCTACCTTTGCCTCCTTTGGGACACTGTAGAGCAGGAACACCTGTTCACCAGCCCTGAGCATCACGCAATCTTTCTTCTGAGGCTGAAGCCAGGGTGGGATCCACGGGTGATGCCAATTGCATTTTCCAGGTTAGCTCACTATGGCTGGCATCCTTCATGGGGCCATCTAAGACTGAGGTAAAGCCTGTGCGCAACTCTGGGTTTGGTGTCCAGGAAGCTCAGCCCTGTCCTCCTCCCCTGCACTGACCTCCACACACACCAATCAAAGAAAATTATCCAGAGCACAGGGCAGTCAGGACCCCCCTAGAAATGCATAGCAAGTGCCCCGGGGTGCTGTTGCCATAACGCATTCTTTTCCTGGTCCCTAGCGGGGTTGCATGTGATGTTATGTTTCCTTGGGAAGAGTTGATTGCTCTTTTCTAAAGATTCTAACATATAGAAAGGGGAAAGCGAGGGTTGTTACTTCAAGCCCCGCCCCCCCAGCTCCAGTCCCTAGTGTCCCATGTGTAGGCTAGAGCTGGTGACAGACCTAAGAAGCAGAACACAGCAAACACAGGACTGTGGCCTCAAGACCAAGTTAGAAAGAGTGTGACTTTGGTCTGGGGGATGGGGGAGGACCTCGTTTTGGTCCCTCCCCTAATGAAGCTACTGTCATGTTGAGCTGTGCCTTAGAGGGACCTTCAGTTAGCAAGGAATGTGGTATCCCACCAGTCAGTGATAAACCAAGGCCTCCTTCCTTCTCTACACCAAATATACAGCAAGTGATTGGGTTCTCACTGTGACAAACTTGCTGAACCTCATGTGACTCTTCCCTGACCTATAAACACCTTATGTTAATAAACACTCTAAGTCACTCTCTTTCAGGGTGGTTTGCTCCACAGCAAGAGATAACACAGCTACTGAAGAAACTAGACCAGAAAGCATCACTCACTGCATAGCAAAATTCAGAGGATTTATTTGTGTTCCTGGAGTATGGGTTTGGAGCAGAGCAGCAGTGTTCTTACGTGGATAATAGTGAAAGGAACCTAGGTGTTAGAGTAACTTACAGAAATATCGGTCGCCACCAAATGGTGCCTTTTGTATACTTTAAAAGGTGGTGGTAACTCCTGCCCCCACGGTCAGTTTGCACACAACCGCTGAAACCTTTACAATGCTTTGTGGCTGGACCGAGACAAGAGCTTCACTGCATCCTTCTAGGTGGTGCCTCGGCTTGGACACAGGATAAACATTACCTATTCAGAACAGCACTGGGAAACAAGGGTCCCCCCTCCTATGGTTCAAACAGCCTTTTGGTCAATGAGGCTCTGAATTTCCATGTGGAAAGAAACTGGCAGACACGGTGACGGATGCTCAGGGGTAGCTTATACCCGCTGGGGTTCCGACGGCTGTCCCCCCTGAGCTACAGCCTGCCAGCCCTCACAAGTTCTCCTTGTCAAACTCGCACATGAAGTACATGGTGATGTGGCAGGCTACATCATTCCAGCCCCCTGAGGCCACCATCTCTACACAGTCCTCCTCGTCGTAGGCATTGTTGGGCTCTCCACTGCGCCACTTGTTAAAAGTCTGCATGGGGGAGCGGTCCGAGTACACGAAGGCGCCTTCTCTCTCCAGGTCATTGATGCCTATGAAGACGCGGGCTAGGCCAGCCTGTGCCAGGTAGGAAGCCATAAGGCCATTGGCTGCCTCGTCCTTGGGCATGCTCAATGTGCCTCCCCGGCCTTGGCAGGACAGCTGGGCATCTGCATACCGCTTCTCCTCCTTCACCAGCAGGTAGATCTTGCTCTCAGTCTCACGCACGCCGGCAACAACTGCAGGGGAGGGCAGTGCTGAAAGGCCAGCACTTGCATTTCTATAAACACACTCAATGCATGCCACCACACCACGGCCACAGGCACGGTAGCGGTGGGCGCTGAGCAGCAAATGGAAGCCACCGCTGTCCAGCTCTGGGGAGAAGCGGGGAGGGAAGAGCAGGGGAGGGGAAGGCCTCGGTCCAACGTACCATTTTTTATGAATTTCAGCTCGGTTGTCAGTTGAGTGACCTGGTTGTCCATCTCCCCGATAGCCTTCCGCAGCTGGCTGCACTCACATGGGATGCCTGCAAGAGCAGCCCGTGATACAGGGGACTGGTTCTAGGAAAGATGGGTACAGACAGGCAGACAGACACACACACACACACACACCAGATGCATACGCCACAGAGAAAAGGACCAGAAAATGAGCATCCTGACATCTAAGGCTGTATACCTGTGCCTACTACACAGTGTGTCCCAAGGAGTTTCACTAGGGTTGTACACAAGGGTAGTATGGGTACCTTACCCTTATTAACTATGCTGCTTTTGTTGTTTCGTTTGTTTGCTTTGAGATGGGATCCCACATAGCACAGCTTTGTCACCAAGGATGACCTTGAACTTCCGATCCCCCCCTGCCTTTACCTCATGACTGATGGGATTATAGGTGTGCACCGCTATAGTGGTATGGTATTTGTGTTTTAATACATAAAGCTTGCCTGAAGATCAGAGTGCAAAGCAGTCATACTAGTCAGCCTCACAGGCCAGGCAGTGGTGGCACACACCTTTAATCCCAGCAGCCACACTAGTCAGCCATAGAGGCTGGGCGGTGGTGGTTCCTGCCTTTGATCCCAGCACTAGAGAGGATGGGAGAAGACAGGTCTCGTGGTCAGTCTCAGTCTGAGGATTCATGGAGGCAGGATCACCATTTTGGTCTGAGGTAGAGGTAAGAACCAGTGGCTGGCCACTTTGCTTTTCTGATCTTCAGGCAAGCTTTATACCCCAATATCTGTCTCTGGGTTTTGAAACCCAGGGCTTCATGTAGCCACATGTAGCTTCTTTTTAATTTATTATTATTATTTAGAATCATTTAATTTTAGGTGTATGGTTGTTTTGCCTACATGTATGTCTGTGAACCATGTGTGTCTACAGTGACCCCAGAGGCTAGAAGAGGACATCTGATCCCTTAGAACTGGAGTTACAATGAGCTGCTATGCGGTTGCTATGTGGTTGCTAGGAACGAAACCCAGATCTTCTGGAGGCACAGCCAGCGGTCTCCACTTCTAGACCATCGCTCCAGCCCCGTGGTTTATGAATTGTCATACCAGGTTCTCCACTGGGACCAGGAGGTCCGATGTCACCAGAGTCTCCTTTTTCACCTGGGTGATTAAAAGAAAAAGTAAAGTTACCATCCAGAGGGGAGACGCCCTTTGAGTTAAAATGTGTCAAGTTAAAAATCTTATTTGTTGAAGCTGAGGATGTAGTTCAGTGGTAGAGTTGGATGAGGCTCTGGGTTCCTTCCCCATCGCTCCCCGTCGCCATGTTCTATGGACAGCTCTCCAGGCTGTTTATAAACATGGGCATGTATTGGGGGAGCACCTGGTGACTTACTTGACGTCAGCTCTGGGGAGCCCAGTGCCCTTCACTGAATGTTTTACAGACAACATTGTACAGATTACTGAATACCAAGAGCAAATGACAGCAGGCCAGCTCAATAGGAAAATCCAGATGGACATAAGAAGGGAGGTGGGGTGAGTTTAGCAAAAACCTGATCCAGGAAGGATAGACAGCATTGATAATCCCAAGCTGTAACCAAAGTTGCTCTGGATCCATTCCAGGCAGTGTAGTGTCACAGAGGTGCCCAGACACTAGGACCCTGCCCACTCTCCTGGTAGGCAGGGCAAACCTCCTAACCCCTTGCCTTCAATCTCCTCAACACACACACATGCACACATGCACGCATGCATGAACACACACGAAAACCTTATAGAACACAATGACAGCAACAAAGCTGCACAGCCTCTGTGAGATCAAGCTATTGTGTGTGGGTGTGTGTGTGTGTGTGTGTGTGTGTGTACACGTCAATCATTTTGGAATCCCTAATACATTGTCTCTCTTGCTCAGAGGACAGAGTCATCTCCGTGGAGGGCTGTGAGTTCCACGTCGGCAGATTCGCAGTCTGTTCACGTAAAGAGGGAAGCATTTAAGCAGCCCCTGCCCAACTCATTCCTCTGTGTTCTGTCAGGTGTTTGAAGACCTCCAGAATCTCAGCCTGGCCAGGACCCAAGAGAATGTCCCTGGAAACAAAGCCAATCGAATAATCAAAGCCGATTGAGGGTGGTCCTGGTCTTCACACGAGACTTGGAAAGCTGCCCAGCACACATGCTGTGTAGAAAAGAATATGCACTCCTTCTGTCTTCCCCTCGCTCGTTACAGCACTGGTCACAACAGCCAATGGGGACAGATGGCCTGAGTACCCACAGGCAGGGAGATTGTAGCTTAGAACTCAGTCCTCTGGGCAAATCATCCACAGTCTTCATAATGCCAGTTGTGCCATTAGAGGCCACTTGCAAGAGGCCATCAGATCATGATTGTTGGCTGTTGATGTCCCATCAGAGAAAAGGGGCATGCAGAAGGTCCCTGGTCCCTTACCTGAGATTCTAGTCACTCCTGCCAGCCATTTAAATGCCATTCTACCCTGGTTTCATGTGACTTTGAGTCTTGGAGTCTCGGAGGTACTAGAGCATGTATGCTAAGGAAGGTTAACTTGCCATAGAACAGGAGATTCCATCAATGTGACGTTCCAGTATCACTGCTTTGGGGTCCCCTACAGTTCTGCAAATAATCCCTCACCCATGCTCTGTAAGTAAGTCCAATAAATCCATTTGTTCTCTACTAGGTTGAACTTTGAGCTTGCTCTTGGGACTTTAGGAAGAATAGGCAGAGATCATTTATGTCTCCTCAGGGAAGGAATTCTCACAAATATGGAGATAAACAAAAGACCTGGGCAATTGGTGTCATTCAGCTTTAAAATAAGGGAATTTTGACACCTGCTACATCATGAATTCTGAGAGCATTGTAGTAAAGGAGACAAGACCACAACAAAGGACAAAACCCATTGTATGGTAAGTAGGCTGGGCAAATTCACAGAGGCAAAGAGCAGGCTCTGGGTTGTGAGGGTTGGGACGATGGAGTTACTGCTTAATGGTACAGCGTCCCTGCGGGGGCGATAAAAAGCTTTTGGAAACAGTGGGCACGGCTGCATCACATGGCGGATGTGTCAGTGCCACTGAGCTGGGCAGCTGGAACGGCTGAAATGGCAGCCTTTATAAGATCAATACTTCACCGCAGTCCTGTGAAGGTTCTGTAGCGTGAATGTCCCTCAGCACCCCATGCTCATCAGGATGATGCCTGATAGCAGGTTCTTCCCAGAGAAGAGACAGCCGAGCAGAGTGCCCACCTCCCCATCCCTCCTCGCCAATGGTCTCTCTCTCTGCAGGGACAGCACAGGGCTGTGCCAAACCCAAGGTGTGGATCAGAGCAAACCACCCAAACCAACTCAGAGCTCAGACCTCAACCAAGACATCTCTGGGCCAGGTCAACCTGTTCTAGTATAAGATCCCAGGAGACAGCTAGGAAGACTGCGCCCAAACACCTCCCTTGCCTCCGATTGCCAACAAAGCTCTTCACCAGCCACTGGCCATCCTAGTTCAGTCTCCCCCATAGCCAACCCACACAGGAGCACAGGAGACTTCAGTGAGATTACACAGAGAGCTACATGACCCCGGTGTCCCGCTAGGTCCAGGTGCTCACACATCTGTTGAAAAATATGGATGCTCACCTTACGAGACCTGGATAGAGGTGGGCAGTCCTTGGGCTTCCCACAGGTCAGGGAACCCTGATTGCTCTTCGAGCAGATGAGGGAGGGGGACTTGATCGGGGGAGGGGGAGGGAAATGGGAAGCGGTTGCGGGGACGAGGCAGAAATCCTTAATAAATAAATAAATTTAAATAAAAAATAAAATAAAATAAAAAAGAAAATAAAGCTGGGGGTGGAGATGAAGACAGCAATGCATGGCACAACCCGTCCTGACCATGAAGCCGGGGGTGGGATGAAGACAGCAAATCATGGCACAACCTGTCCTGACCATCCTCTGAGTCGCTCATCATTCCATCATGCTTATTAAGGAAGGTGGGCTGAAGATTCAGGCTCTGGCTCAAGCACACGCTCAGGATCCTGCATCCAGGAGGTTAATCACTCCTTAAGTGCTGCAGGCTGGTGTGACTCCACCCACCCCGATGCTCATAGAGCCAGCAGTCCCTTTGGTATCCCTGTAGTGAGAATACTGCAACAGAGTCTATCAGAGTGACACATGAAAACAAGAGCTCCAGGCAAAGTGGCACAGACAGCGGCTGCTCTGAGTCTACCGGGGAATATAGGGCAAGAAGTGTGTCAAAAATACCTTTAGCGCCAATGGGACCGACTTTTCCGTGGCGGCCCACAGTGCCTTTCTGTCCTTTGTCCCCCATGTCTCCTGTAGAAAACAATAAGGCCAAAATTGATAGAGGCACCAGTAATCTGACAGGCTGCTCCTCAGGATCACATATGTGCACAGCTGAGCTGACACGCCCCTTCTCAGGATCACATATGTGCACAGCTGAGCTGACACGCCCCTTCTCAGGATCACATATGCACAGGTGAGCTGACACGCCCCTTCTCAGGATCACGTATGCACAGCTGAGCTGACACGCCCCTCCTCAGGATCACATATGTGCACAGCTGAGCTGACACACCCCTCCTCAGGATCACATATGTGCACAGCTGAGCTGACACGCCCCTCCTCAGGATCACATATGTGCATAGCTGAGCTGACACGCCCATTCTCAGGATCACATATGTGCACAGGTGAGCTGACACGCCCCTCCTCAGGATCACATATGTGCACAGGTTAGCTGACACGCCCCTCCTCAGGATCACATATGTGCACAGGTGAGCTGACACGCCCCTCCTCAGGATCACATATGTGCACAGGTGAGCTGACACGCCCCTCCTCAGGATCACATATGTGCACAGGTGAGCTGACACGCCCCTCCTCAGGATCACATATGTACAGGTGAGCTGACACGCCCCTTCTCAGGATCACATATGTGCACAGCTGAGCTGACGCGCCCCTCCTCAAGATCACATATGTGCACAGCTGAGCTGACACGCCCCTCCTCAGGATCACATATGTGCACAGCTGAGCTGACACGCTCCTCCTCAGGATCACATATGTACAGGTGAGCTGACACGCCCCTCCTCAGGATCACATATGTACAGGTGAGCTGACACGCCCCTTCTCAGGATCACATATGTGCACAGCTGAGCTGACACGCCCCTCCTCAGGATCACATATGCACAGCTGAGCTGACACGCCCCTCCTCAGGATCACATATGCACAGCTGAGCTGACACGCCCCTTCCTTACTACCACACACGTGCACACATGCACATGGGAAGAGACTGCATGAAGAACAGCTCTCCAAGGATACATAGGCGAATGTCCCAAGATTATTCCTCCTAAAGGATTTGTTCCTAATGAAGGCTATGAGTCACACAGATGGCAGAAGGGAGGAGAACAGGCCAGCACTCCTGAGTCACTCAGCCAAGGCCAGCTCTCCTCTGAGCCTGGGTCAGGAAGGGCAGGTCCCTGACCTGTATCCTAGCTCCACAGGGTCACCCCAGCTTCTTCTCACACCCAAACCAAAAGCGTCACTCTGGAAGACAGACACAACTAGATACTCTTGGGAACAGCAAAGCCCTGGGCATCCCCTCTGGTTGAATTTGAAGGTGGCTCTGCAGGAGACGAAGGACACAGGGAGAAGAGCCCGGAATGCTCTCTGCATGCCTTATGGAAGTAGCACAGTGCCTGCGATGTGCTTCCTAACAGCAAGTACTCACTCTAGTCACTCAAGGCCAACCCTTCTGCTATCTCTCATCCATCACAAGAAGAAACAGACGATGATCTTGCTTATCCTAGAGAACACTGATCGCTGAAATAAAGCTGTGACCAGCTGTCCTCTCCAGACCCATAACATGTCAGGACAGAGACATTTCCCAAAGCTGTGTCCTTCCCTGAGTGTCCTTAGTCTCTTGGAGATGCTCCTGGTTATCTTTTAGGATCCCCACTGATGAGCCACCAAAGCACAAAGAGCAAGAGAGCACAGAGAAGCCCTGGGCACCAACTTCACCATGGACAGGCTCATGTGGGGTCAAGATGCCATGACCTTCTGGTCTTCTGTTGCCTCTAGGGTTACAGAGACAAATAGAAACTCAGTGTAGATAGCTCTCAAGACAGGCAGGAGGGAGGGTTCCCCTGTGTGCTCATGAAGCACCTCACAGCACAGCACAGCACTTCCCGAGGGCCTCCAGTGCTAGAGTGGATGCTCCTTCAATGCAGAACAGATGGAGTCAGAAGGAGAGAGCGCTAGCTGATCAGAAAACACGCCATCCATGGAAAGGGCATGAGAACAAAGTGCTTGCTTACAAAGCACGCTCATGCACACGCTCTCCTTCACGTCTTCCATCAACAGTCAGCTTGCACATCGGTAGTTCTGGGATTAAGTGACTTGACCAGGCTGGATTCTGAAAGTCCAGCAGGAGCAGGGCAAGAGCCATGATCTGCTGGTTTGAGAGCCATTCTCCTTTCCTGACGCTGGGGGAGACAGGTGGGTGACGTCTGTGCAGGCGGAGCAAGTCACTGGCCCAGAAGGGTGCAGGGTGTGAGCTGAGGACACGGGGACAATCTGGCCACTGAAACCGAGCTGTAGGAGAGAAACGAGGCACTGAAGTGGCCCAGGTCAGGGGTCCTGACCCATCTGGAGGGTGAGGGGGGCATTTGAGAAGGAACAATGGGAGCCACCGGAGAGTCAGGAGGAGGAGAGGGCAAGATCAGATTCCTGCTTGGGAAACCCGGCCACACTTGAGGAGAAGTGGGCAAGACAGGCACAGAGACCAGCTGGTGGCTAGCCAGACAGCACCCAGGAGAATGAAAAGAAGCCTCCTGATTGGCAGGTTTCTGGGAGTTGACAACTCAGTGATGGGTTGTAAAGTGAGGGCAAGGCTTCTGGTCTGGATACCCTTGGGCAGAGTAGGTCATCCTAAAGCCGGGAAAGCCCCAGAGGGCACTGGGCTCCAATATCCTGCAGACAAACAGGAATAAAGGCTGTGGATGTAAAATGAGGGCAGAGCAGGGCTTGACATCAGTAAAGAAGGCATCTAGAGGGAGTAGAGGGAGCCAGGAAAAGGTGGGACAGGCTGGGCAGCAACTCCATGAAGCCCTGTGGAGGGCGGGGGCAGTGTTCAGAGGGAAAGGGACTGAGACTATGGCAGGCAGCATCTTGATCAATGAGTTAAGCAACAGGGAAGGAAGGAGAAACCTTAGCAACCCTCTCCAGTCTTTGGAAGTGGTAACGTTCCCCTGACATCTGCACGGTTCACGCTAGGCCGTGCGACTGAGATTTTAAAGGAACTGCAAAAATAGCTCACGTTTTAAGTCAGTTCGTAATTTTGTGTTGAGCTGTAATTGAAGCTGTCTTTGGCTGCATGCAGCCTGGATGCCGCAGATTGGACATGTCAAAACAACCCACTGAAGGCCCACCGTGGAGGTGGGGGCTTAGCAGCTCCCCCCCCCCCATACAGAAGTCTAAGCCCACTGTTCCCCATGCCCACCAGGGAACATGCCTGCCCAGTCCAAGTTCACATGGCGTGTCTGGGGGGCATAAGGTTCAGTTTGTCCGTCTGACAGCTGGGCACACTGCACCCCAATGCACTGCTCGCTCATATAAAGATGGACAGATGGGTCATTCCAATACCCAGGCTTGCCACATTCCCATATGGACAGAGGCTGGGTAGCTGGGTCCTAGAAAATAATAACCAAAGATCTTACCTTGGAAAGGCCAGCTCCAACTAAATGCCCAAAACCCTGGGGTACCAGTGGCCTGCCACCACAAAGCAGGCAGGACTGAGGTTCCTGAGTGTGGGTGTAGTCTGTTGTAGGCTGTGTAGGATCCAGCAAGGGATCTAGGTCTCCTGTCCACTGTGGGGCTGCTTCTTTTTAAGAAATGTCTAGCTGGATCAAAGCTATGGTAGAGGAAAAGTCACACCACAGCTCTGCCTTCTCAGCCTTCCAGCCACACAAGGCAGAAGATCAGGTCCCTGAGGTGACCAGCAGACAGGATAAAAAGGCTCAAAAAAAAAGTCCCTGGAGGGAAAGCATTTGCATCACAAATGCCTCGGGGTGGGTTTTCTTTCCTGCAAAATTCCCACCTCAACAGAACAATCAATTAGCAGTCCATTGTCCAATTTGGTCCCTTGGCTGAGGGCGAGCAGTGAGAGTCCAGCAGGAGTCCTGCTGTCTTAAATCAGCCCCAACCTGAGGCTGATTTGAGATCACTTGGCTTCAACCCAGCCCTAACTCTCACAGCCCAACAGGAGAAGGCACTCAAAGCTGTTGCTGACACTCGGCTCTTGGTACCACCTGGCACCACGCTCAGCTCCTGTCCTTGGAGAAGCATGGGCGCCAAGCCCTGCCATCGGGGTACACCGGATCCGAGACCAAGTGTGGAAAACAAGACCCAGTGGAGACAGCAGCAGCTCCACGCAGAGGATGTGAAGGGCACAGGGGAGGCAAAATCTGAGTCTCAAGCTCTATAAAGTAAACACTACCAGCTGGCCTGGGTAAGTAGCAGCTTGCAGCCTTTAGGGGGCCTCTTGGGTCCCCGAGAGCTGGACAGTGCCATCAAGTTCCCACAAAACATGGATGCCATTGGTTTAAGTTGTGCCAAGATTTGGGGAGGCAGGAGAAGTAGCCCCACAAGGGCTGAGTCTGCGCATCCTCCCTACCCTTATGGAGCTGGGTAACTTGGGTTAGTCAGCAACCCTGGGTAAGTTTATTAATCTCTCTGCCTTAGCTAGGGTTTTATACTGCCATGAAGAAACACCTAGACCATAGCAATGATATAAAGGAAAATATTTAATTGGGGTTGTCTCACAGTTTCAGAGGTTTAGCCCGTTGTCATCATGGTGGGGGCATGGTGGCATGCAGGCAGACATGTTTCTGGAGAAGGAGCTGAGAGTTCTACATCATGATCCACAGGCAGCAGAAGCGAAAACACTCATTTGAGCCTATATGACCTCAAAGCCAGCCTCCACAGTGACACACTTCCTTCTCCAACAAGGCCACATCTCCTAATAGTACCACTCCCTATGTGCTAAGCATTCAGGCACATGAGTCCAGGGGGGCCATGCCGGTTCAAACCACCACACTCCCTGAGCCTCTGCTTTCACCTCTGTACCTGGAATCTGAGCCTGAGGAATAGCTTAGCTGGGAGAGCACTTGCTAGCATGCACAAAGTTCCAGCTTCAGTCCCCGGCGTGCAACTAGGCACAGCAGCACACGTTTGTAATCCTAGTGCTGAGAAGGTACAGGGAAGAAGGTCAGAAGTTTAAGGTCATCTGTGACTATAGTAGTTTCAGGGCCAGCCTGGGCTACATG